GGAAATACAGCTCCCTGTGTGCTGCGCCCGAGGCCGCTCAGGGCTCCGGCCAGAGAGACAGACTCATCCGACTTACCCAAGAGGGGAGTGTACAAAGTCCTGTAGTCCCAGGGGAGACGCTGGGCTCAACCCTCATGACTGTAAAATGAAATACACTCGAAACATGTGATTAAGGTGTTTATTTGACGTGGATCCAAAGCTATTTCCAAGAAATGAAGGTGCTGCCTTTCTCTGTAAGAACACAAAGTCAAGTTGACCGACACATGTACATTCCCAAGGAGTGGTCCCTCCGGTTACAACAAATTGCCACTTCTCCCTCGCCTTTTTACTTAGTGGGAAAAGAGCAGGCTTGTATGTCGTCACGGATGCTGTTTTAGTGAGGTGGCTGCAGGCTGACCAGCTTGGGGCTCCTGGCAGTTTTCTGGAATCATAGGGTGGGGGATGACGGCTTTGGAGAGGTTGCTTCAGCCCAGTAGCCTGAGAGCAGCCGTACCGGCCGTCCCCAACGCCCCCTCCTCCCCCAACCCCACTGCTGCCAGGGGCGAGGATGTCGAGGAACAAATGGTCGCTACAGGGCTGCTGTGATGTGAAGGCTTTCTTCCGGTACAGAGAAACATACACGCCAAGTATGTTTGCCACTGAATTCTGGGCAGATAACGTGAAAGCAGAGGCGAGCCTGTTTAAACACGCTTTAGTAACAGACTCTCAGCGGCTCAGGCAGAAGTACCTTGAAGTACAGTACATTCAGGTGCAAATAAAGCATAAAGATTCGCACCCTCCAATTGCATTAGATATGCCTAAATCACATCATTTCTCTTAGCTGCGAGGAGTAAAAGCCGAGGCTAACCAAGTTCGGACACATGTGAACCTTCTGTCCTATTCTCTTCTGCCTTCCTCTCTCTACTTTTTCCAAATAAAACCCAAAAACTTCTCTTAAAAGTCGTATGATTTGCATTTGAAGAAGTAAAGGACCAGAACATTTGTCAGATGAACTAGTCTGCAAAGAAAACAAGTCTCTGAGTGTATTTTAGTTTGAACCACACTGATTTTCTGAAGGACAAGAAGACCTCAGAGCTTTAGTACTGGTTTAGAAATCCAGTTTGTCTCCCAGTTTGTTACACATTTCAGATTCAAAGATGTGGAACCTCAAGGCTGTGTATATTTGAAGGCCTTTAAAGGAAAAACCATTCATGAATCCTCCAAGTTTTAAGTAATATCTTTACTAGAGATAATACAAATTAATCTTGCAGAAAATCTTGGCAGATCAAAGTGAATACACATCAGTTTTATCTTCTCAATTACCATTACGATAATGTATAAATACTTATGTGGCAACATATTTTTAAAGCTTTATTAGCTTTTGACAAAATGCCTAACAGAATGCCAAATTAATTTCTAAATTAATTTTAAAAAGTAGGACCTAAGTCCATATTGATAGTAACTATTTCTAAATAAAATACTATCTACGAGTATTGTGACAATGTCAACTTCCTGGTTTTGATAATGGACTATGATTATATAAGATGTTATCATTGGAGGAACCTGAGTAATGGGTACAGGAGACCTCTCTGTACTATTTTTGCAACTTCTTGTGATCTATAATTATTTCAAAATAAAAAGTGAAAAAAAGACTATGTATGAAATAACCATGCTAGGAGCTTATTTTTAAGAAGAAGGCTCTATATACCCTAAAACTATAAATTATGTGATGAAATTAAGAACCAAAATAGAGAATTGCTTAATATATATTTTGATTCTTGAATCAGTAGACAGACGGATGTAGTTCTCTTTCATCCAACTATGAATTGCTCTAGAAGAATCTGTGGGCCTCTTTCTTTGAATAGGGCCCCTAGCAGTGAAGAAACATCCTCTTAAAGATAATTCTTTTCATAACATAATTAAGACATCCCTTGAGACCTAGAAAGAAATGATCAACATATAAACAAGACGAAACTTCCATTAGTGTGTGGAATTTAATAAAAATAAGATAAGCAATGCATAAGTGATTATTGCAGCCTAGAAAGACTTAAAATTTAGTATTATGCAAATTTTGAGTTGACTTACAGACGAGTCCTCCTGACCTTAGCTTCTGCTTTCTGCCTAGAAACAGTCCCCAACAACAAATCCCTTCAGTTTGTGTGGTATTGTGCCATGCTCTGGCATGGCCCCACGGTGATGGGAAAGTGAGGCCCAGGGAAGCTAAGGGAATCATTCACATAGGATGTGAGAGGTTGAGACTGAGGCCTCGATTTCCTGACTTTAGGACGGGAACTTGTTACTTGGTGTAACGTGCCTTTGAGAGAGAACTCAACAACGCGTAAGTGGCAGCTAACAGACAGCTGCTTCCCCACTGGGACAGGTCTTAGCAGCAGCTAAGAGTGGAGGACCAGGGCTGACTTAAGCCATGAGAACTCTTTAGAATTCAGTTTGCTCTGTGTGCTGGTTGAGGATTGAGCTGGCAAACGGCGCTAAGGGCAGCGTTCTAGTTGTGTGGCCTTAGCACGGCAGCAAGCACATTTACTCAGGAAAAAATAATATTCCTGCAAAGTCAAGGAAAACATGAAGGGAAGAAGGAAGCAAATATGGAACGAATTAAAGATAGTCTTGACCACAACACAAAGAAAAGGCAGTGGAGAGGACAGAGGCAAAAAACAGGAGATGCAGATCAAGAGTCGTGGAAGCTCACGGGTCAGACATTCCACGGGCCTGGGGCCCTGCGCTGCTGGAGCTCGTCCTCTCAGAGGCTGGAGCACACGCCACCAACACGCATGCACCACCAACATGCACCACCCACACACGCACCACCCACACACGCACCAACACACACACCACCCCCGCACACGCACACACACCACCCCCACACACGCACCAACACAC